TGTAAGTTTTGGGAAGTGATATCTTGAAGACTGAACATGAGGGAAAAGATAGAGTTTAACACAATGTCATGTAAATTTTGGGAAGTGATATCTTGAAGACTGAACATGAGGTAAAAGAGAGTTTAACAATTTCATTTAAATTTTGGTAAGTGATATCTTGAAGACTGAAAATGAGGGAAAAGATAGAGTTTAACCATTTCATGTAAATTTTATACATTGGGAAGTGGTATCTTGAAGACTGAAAATGTTGGTTTCAAATATGAAATGCTCCGCACATCACTTGAATGAGTTTCAAGGCGCATTACAATTCAGAGAAGGCCCGACGAGACCCGGCGGATTTTTGCTGGGTCTTGTCGGGTCTTGGTTTAAAACTTCGTGTAACAGTTCGGGCTCAAGCATGTTCGGGCTCAAGCATGACGAGTCGCGCCGCAGTGACCATCATTGATGCGGGATGGACGGGTGCTGAGCTGGCAGTGGTATGGGGCTGGATGTTCTTCCTGCTGGCCCTCCTGCAGTGCATCTGCTGGGTCGGAGTCCGTTTATGGCATCTTCCACGGCAACCAGGAGAAGTGGCGGAAGCAGAGAATGTCCAGCCAAAGACGAGAGAGGAGATAGGAGTGCAAACCGCAGACGCTTCACCAATACAGCGGAGGAACAAGATCCCCACTTCCCTCAAAGATTTCCCGGAGGCAAAGAAGGCCCAAGCGACTTTAGCCATTGTCTCAAAAGCTCAGCCAGTTCTCAGCGACATGGAGAGATGGGGCCACTTCGAAACCGAGCAAAAGCGAGCACTCAGGGGGTCCCGCCACAACTGAATGGGCCTCCTGATGATTGGACGTGGCATCAGGTTCATCGAGATGGAATTCTTGAAGCGCAGCCCACCTCTGGCCCCTGAGCGTTGCGGACTGTGGGACGTGAGCAATGTGCCAATTAAAAGACCCATTTGCAATCACCAGCCGCCACCATCAACTTTCATGTCTGTTTACCCGCCGGCCGTTCGACGTATAACCGCAGCCGCAGCCAACTTGTATACACGTGTGTATTATTCTACAGCAACTTAGATTAATCATCAGTCTACTATTGTTTAAGCCTCATTCTTCTGCCCGACGTTCAAGACAAATAAGCCACAAACAAACAATCAAGTTCACTGCACACTTGGTTTACCCGGCCCGCCGGCCCGACGGGCTGATGCCAACGCGTCACCTCAAGGCCAACCGGTGTGTCGCAGGGCTTCAGTAAGTGAGTCGCATGTTTGAAATCACGCGGCGTGTTGGTGGCATGTTTGCATGTTTGGCTTCAGTGGCAGTGGGGCTCAAGCTTTTAGGTCCTGATGACATGGCACGAACCAGCCAGGCACCTTGGCGAATGACAAGTATTTTTGCTTAGTTCTATTATAATGTTTGCGTGGTCGATCACCCCGGCCAATTCATTATTAAGTGGCTTTGTCCGAAGTCTCCCAAGGACCTCAGCGCGCCGGCGCCGGCGACATGGGCCGGCAGCGTGGGCCGGCAACGTGTGCCGGCAACGTGGACCCACGCTCCGACGCCGAAAGCGCACGCCTTGAAGGAGATCACCAACAATGACCAGGAGGCTCGCTATTTTGGACTCTTTTGGTATTTGTGTTTTGGAAGTCTGTTATTCCCAAATAATTTGGAACAAGGACCAGCATCATGATTACCATCGTCGGGCTACCTACGAAGATCACAGCAAAGGGCCCACGACTCCGGAAGTTGAGAGTACAGAGGGCGCTGATGCAAAAGATGATAAGATGCTGCCTGGAAGCTCAAGGAAACGCAAATGGGAGACTTGGAATATACTTTGAAGTTTTTGTTCTGTGCGAACATCTAGTGATTGAGTTTTGGCTCTATCGACTTGAACTTCACCTGAGGATGACGAGCGGATCATTGAGCGGGTGGATGAGACGAAGCGTTTGCTGTTTACGATGGCCGCTGAAATCGATACAGACCTGCGGAGGCTCCATGGAAAGGTCAAAGCATTGTTCGCCTTGTCTGGACAGTTGCCTGGAGCCGTGCAAATGCGCTAAGATCCGCTGAGATCGATATCAGAAGATAAGAAAAATGCGCGCTAGTTCCGATTGCGGCGGTGGTTCAGTCTATGTGTTTATTATTTAATTTGATGGATAAAGAAAACTACTGAAGAATCCTAGGGTC